ATAATAATAATAATAATAAACTCATAAATCCAATTTGTGAATAGAACTCGAGAAAGAGAAAAGACGAGGAGCAGAACTCAGGCATCTTTGAAGACAACAAACCTAGATCTGGGTTTTTCTATTATAATTAAAATTGCAATTTCAATTCTCATCATTAAATTTCAACACTATTATAATCAAAATCATAGCAACCAAACTTGAAAAACCCTAATAAATTAGTTTGCAACTCCCTCAAGCACGTGTGACAAAGGAACACAAATCTCATTTTCTTTTGTTCTATGGCACTTCGAGCTCGTGAGGAGGTGTGGTTATGTCTCTTGGCTTCTAATTGCCTCAACCTCACATGAGGGAAAAGAGGGAAAGGGAGAGATGGAGATGATTGCAGAGGGGGTGACATTACTGGTGAGCTTTTTGAGTGAGGAGGTGAGGAAGCGATGGAGATGATTGCAAAAGGGGCAAAGAAGGAGATGGAGATGATTGTCTGAGGAGGCGAGGAGTAGGGGTTGGATTTTTGAGAGAAAAGACAAACAGCAGGGTTGGGTTTTAGAGAGGAAAACGATGTATATATATATGGGGAAAGTGAGCGTCAATCTTACCTCCAAAAAAAAAACATTGAAGTCGCAGACCAAACGGCGTTATTTTCCTCTAAAAAAACCCAGCTCTGCTGTTCGTCTTTTCTCTCAAAAATCAGCCCCTACTCCTCGCCTCCTCCAACAATCATCTCCATCTCCTTTTTTGCCCCTTTTGAAATCATCTCCATTGCCTCCTCACCTCCTCGACTCCACCCCTACAAAATACAATAAACCCCACAATCTCTCGCAGCCAAGAAGGTAACAAAAAATGAAAATGAAAATCCAATCTTCTAGTTGGAATAATATTGATAAGAGAATAAGAAAAGAATAAAGTATAACCAAAATCTATCTGAAAAATCAGAGGAAACGAGCAGGATTTAAAATAAATTAACAACCTAGATTTGGGTTTCCAAAATCTATATGGAAATGAGATGAAACGAAGAAAGCAACCATGGCTAGACAATTCAAAAACAAACCTAGAAAAGAAAATAAATGTTGCAACATCTTTGAAGACAACAGACCCAAATCTTTGAAGCCTTGCCATGCCTTCCCCTCCAAAGTGTTGGTAGTACAATGGGGATGTTAAGAGGAAAAAAAAAAAAATTCAAAATTCAACATCAAACTGAACGAAACCGAGAGGCAAGACGAGCAACACAACATCAGAAACAATCAAAACCATCATTAATGAACCCATGCAAGAAAAACAAATTTAGTTCAAATCCCATTTGCAGTAATCTTTTCACAACACTAAAATTCAAATCGAAATTCTCGTTCTTGATAATGAAACAAACTTGAATTTCACATTAACGCCTTGTTTGGATAGAAAATAGTAAAGGGAAGGGAGGGGAATGGAGGAAAATAAAAGGAAATGGAGGGGGAGGAAAAGAAAGGGAAGAAAATAGAAGGAAATGATTTGTGTTAATTTTGTTTGGATAAATAAAAATAAGGAAAGGGAAGGGAAGAATTGTATTATTTTATGTTTGGATAATTAAAGTAAAAGGAAGGGAAGGGTGGGAAGGAAGGGAAGGGTTTAAATTAATTTTAAATTTACAAATTTACCCTTTAAGCTTATAATGGAGAAGGATATAATAAAAAAATTAAGGTTAATTTTGTAATTACATTTAACTTAATGTAAATATTCACTTAAATCCCTTCCAAACCCCTCAAATCGGGCGGATTATAAATCTACAGATTTGAGGGGAGTTGAAGGAAGTCCGAATCAGTCCATCTCCCTCTCCTTTTGCTTTTTTGGAAACCCAAATAGTAGGAAGGAGACAACCTCCCTCACTCCCCCTCCCTTGCCATCCGTCCCCATCCCTTCCCCAAAACGCACAAGTATATTTCAATCCATAATCAAATGCAGCCAAGAAAACAACAACAACAACAACATAATAATAATAATAAACTCATAAATCCAATTTGTGAACAGAATTCGAGAAAGAGAAAAGACGATGAACAGATTGATACCTAAGAAGCAAACCAATGCCAAAAACAGATCTGCAGTTTATCGGTACAGATGTCGACCTCCTCCCTTTACTCTTCTACCTTCCCACAGCAAAATAACAAAGCCCTCCCTCTTGGTCGCCAAAATCTCACCGAAAGCATGCTGGAAATCACCCCTTTTCTCTCCCTCTGTCTACCGTTGCTATTTCTGCAGAAATCACCGAAAGCACAAGCTGGAAATTTCTGAGATTTTTCTCCCTTTTGTCGGCTGTTACAGAGAAGAAATACAAGAGGTTTTCTGTGGTTTTGAGTAGAGGGAGTGGCTGATTAGTGGTGAACAGAAAGATGATCGGCGAAGATGATGACCAAATGAGATGAAACTTGGAGAAAAGAAAAATTTTTCTGTGTGTGGCGGCCTCCTCATTTTTTTTCGAAATCTCCCTGATGCTTGTCTGCGGCTGCCGTTCTCCTTCAAAATGCTCCCCCCTTTTCAGCATAAAAGATGATTTATATATGGTGATGAAACGCACCGGCAGGTTAGAATTGGAGTCATGTTTTTGGGTTGCAAGCCTTCTCCTCCACTTTTCATGTGGGCTGAATTCTTGGGCTTCATTTTTAGTGTGGGCTAACCGAATTTACATCTCATTTCCTATTTCCCTCTTTTATTATTATTATATTATTTTTTTGTTTTTCTGTTTCTTTCTCTTTTTTTAGATTTTTTTTCTTTTTCTTTTTTCTTGTTTTTTAAAATCCTTTTTCCATTCTCCATTTCTTCATATCTTTACCTTAATGCTTCTTCATGAGAATAAGTTCTTATCACAAAAAATTAAACACATTAAAACATATAAAATGTAATTTTAAATATTATAAAAATTTTATTCATTATATTGATTCTATATTTTTATTGTCAAAATTTAAGTTATAATAGCTCCTATTATTCAAATGATTCAAACCACAGTCCAGTTTTGTGGGTTGACAAATGAAAACCCAATTACAAATTTAACAAACTTTCTAATGATATGTGATACTTTTTGTATCCCAAACAATCTCTTTAACATGTAGTGAGTAAGACGGTGTGCCACTTACTATGCTCAAAATAAGAAAAGATTTCTTTGATGACTTTTTCTTCTTTCCAAGCATGAAACTCAGTTGTGAGTTGATGGAAGAACGTTGTAGACTACGCCTTAATGATTAGATGATTGATAGAAACAAGGGATGAACTTTCTATACTAAATGGGTTATACAACAAAATGCCTTGATATGACTCTAAGGACTCCTTCAAACTAATGCAATCAAGAAAAGCTAAGACTACAAGAAAAGTAAATGAACACCGAACTACTAAAAATCTAAATGAATTTTAAATATACAAGTTGAATTGAAATAGAGCTCTAAAAAGGAAATCTAAATGTAGAAAAAATAAATTAAGTTAAAGTAAATGAAATTGGAAACATGGAAAATCTACTGACAACATGAAATATAAATTAATAGAAATGGAACAAAACATGAAATTAAATATCGACATCACTTAATTAAATTAAAAGAAATTAGAAAAACAATAAAGGAAAAGAAGCAATTTGATTACAAAGAAATATCACCACTGAAGGCAACGAATCTTACCATTACAAAACGAACAAAAGGGAGATTGAATTTCTTCCCTAGAGAATTGCAACTAATTTTTGGGATTTCTAAAGGGAAAGACATTAAACTAAAGTTGAAGCATAGAGCTAAAACTAAACTAAAGGGCTTGAAACTAAGATGAATCTGAGCATAAAAAGAAATTATGTTGAGCTTGTTGGGTGAGAAATAGGTTTGTCTTGTTTTGTTTCTTTTCTGCGTACTTATAGTAGTAAACACCCCTTGGTAGCATGCTTGGAGATCTATGCTAGCATCTTGCAAACCAATGGCAGCATGAAATTTGTAACAAATCGATTAATCTATTGGTGTTGCCGATTATGCTCTCGGAAGTTTGCAACAAGCGAATGGCTTTGTTGACGCTGTGGAAATAACTGCTGAATCTTATCTGCAAAGATCTACATCAACAACTTTTCAACAAAAAAAATTTCTTCCAACATGGATGGCACGTGACACCATTCTATTTGTTGCAAAATTAGGTGTAAATACTTTTAAATAAAATGGAGTCTCAGATGATGCAATTTGGTTTAGGTTTTTTCCTTTTTCACTCAAGGACAAAAGTAAGGAGTGGCTCAATTCTTTGGTGATAGGGAGCATAACAACATGGAATGTTCTTATGCAGAAATTCTTGGCTAAATTCTTTCCAGCTACAAGGATTGCAAAACTTAGTAATGACATCACTCAATTCTGTCAACATGAACTGGAAACTTTGTGTGAGGCTTAAGAGAGGTACAAGGACTTATTACATAGATGTCATCATTATGGAATTCTAGACTAGCTACAAATTCAAACTTTTTATAATGGGTTGAATGGGCAAACCAGGATCATTGTGAATGTAGCCTCAGGAGGGGCTTTAATGGCAAAAACATTAGATGATACTTGTGCACTCATAGAGGAAATGGCAGAAAATGTGTATCAATGGACAAATGAAAGAGCTAATAAAAAGAAAGTGGTTGAGATTTATGAAGTGGAGCCATTATTTGCTTTAACTTCTCAAGTAGTAGCATTATCTTAACAAATTGTCAGATGAACATTCATTCTTGGTGTAGTTCACCTACAGCTTCTGATTCACGTGGAGGAGCTCATGTAACTACAAAATGCAATTCAAAAAATGCTGGATTTAATGAGCAAGCTCAGTTGGTATCTCATATTAGACCACCTTTTTGACCAAACACCAACAATCTTAGTTCTAATTCTTACAATCTAGGTTGGCATAATCGTCCTAATTTTTCTTGGAAAAATAATCATAATGTTTTACAACTATAATCTTATCAAGCCACACTAGGATTTAATTGACAAGTAGAGAGTAAACTGCCAGTTAAGGAGACTTTAACTCAGTACATGATTAAGAATGATGCAACTATACAACACCTTCTTCAAATCACCTAGGACTTGGTGACATCAAATTGTAACTTGGCTAGTTCTCAAAAAATGTAGAGATGCATATGGGGCAACTAGCTAATATGTCAATTCTAGACCACCAGGTAATTTTCCTAACACAGCAAAGGTGAATCTTAAAGAGTAATATAAGGCAATAACTTTAAGTGGCAAACAAGTTAAGCAACTAGTTCAACTAAGGCAAGAGGGTACTTTTGTCACTTTCTAATCAGTAGCAAGATTGTGGAACTTAACTTGATGTACATCCAGAACTAGCTAAGGAAGGAAAATCCAAACTATTTCTAGACAACCCTATTTTGTGTGCTCCTTCTAGTCCATATCTATAAAGATTATAGAAGCAAAAGATGGAGAATAAATTTTTGAAGTTCTGTGGAGTCTTTAAGAGACTCCATATCTACATTCCTTTTGTTGAAGCTCTAGAACGAATACCAAAGTACACAAAATTTATGAAGGAGATTCTTTCCAAAAAGGGGAAATTTGGAGAATTTAAGATAGTGAAGTTGGTTGGAGAATGCAATGTAATTCTCTAAAAGAAATTGCCTTAGAAAGTGATAGACCCTGGTAGTTTCACTATACCTTGTACCATAGGGAATTCTTTTTTCCAAAGAGCTTTATGTGATCTTCGTTCTAGTGTCAATTTGATGCCATTGTCTGTTCATATGAAATTGGGTATGGGAGAAGCCAAGCCTATTACAGTGTCACTACAATTGGCTGACCAATCTGTTAAGCATCCACAAGGAATTGTGGAGGATGTATTAGTGAAGGTGGATAAATTTTTTTTCCTAGCTAATTTTATTTTGCTAGATATGAAGAATGATGAAGACATTCCCATCATACTTAGCAGAGCATTTTTGGCTACTAGAATGATTTTAATTGATGTACGAAAGGGAGAATTGGTTTTGAGATGTTAGGATGAGAAAATTACCTTTAATATTTTTAGAGCAATGAGCCACCCATCAGAAATTGATCATTGGATGCAAATTGACACCATTGAAGAAGTTGTTCAAGAAGTCTTTGACATGCAACTTGTGCAAGATCCACTAGAAGCTTGCCTTGTCCAATTATCAACTACAGAAAATTCAAAAGCTCAAGAATATGGAAGGTATTTAGAAGCTATAGCTGTTGTTTCTTCAAATCTAGTTTGTGAAAACTTAATTCCATAAACTATAACAATTGCACCCTCCATTGAAGAACCACCAAAGCTAGAATTGAAACCATTGCCCTCTCATTTATGTTATGCATTTTTGGGTGAGAACTCTACATATCCAGTAATTATTTTTGCATCTTTGTCTAAATTAGAGGAAGAAAAGTTGTTGTGTGTGTTGAGAGAACATAAGACAGCTTTGGCATGGACTATTTCTGATGTTAAAGGCATGAACCCCTCTATATGCATACATCAAATTTTGATGGAAGATAGCTACAAGCCAAGTGTGGAACCACAAAGAAGGTTGAACCCGATTATAAAAGATGTGGTAAAAAAAGAGGTAATGAAATTGCTAGATGCTGGAATTATCTTTCCCATTTTTGATGGTTCATGGGTGAGTCTAGTCCAAGTAGTTCCAAAGAAGGGTGGTACGATTGTGGTGCAAAATGAAAACAATGAGCTTATCCCAACTAGAATAGTGACTAGCTGGAGAATATGCATTGAACATAGAAAGTTAAATCAAGTAAGTAGAAAAGATCATTTTCCTCTCCTTTCATTGCTTAGATGCTTGATAGGCTTGCTAGGCATGCTTGTTATTGCTTTTTGGATGGGTACTCAGGCTATAATCAAATTGTCATTGCTCTTGAAGATCAAGAAAAGACAACGTTCACTTGTCCTTATGGCACATTTACTTTTCAAAAAATTCTATTTGGTTTATGTAATGCACTAGTAACTTTTCAACGATGCATGGTGGCCATTTTCTTTGATATGATAGGAAAATTCATAGAGGCAGCTTCTTAGTTTTTGGTTCTTCTTTTGATGAATGCATGAGGAATTTGGCTCTAATTTTAGAAAGATGTGAGGAGACAAATCTGGTTCTAAACTGGGAAAAATGTTGCTTCATGGTAAAAGGTGTTGTTCTTGGGTGTAAAGCTTTTGAAAGAGGACTTGAAGTTAATAAATCCAAGATTTAGTGCAATGTAGAAGCTGTTGCCCCCACCATCAATAAAAGGAGTAAAGAGTTTTTTGGGACATGCTAGTTTTTATAGAAGATTTATGTTGAACTTTTCCCAAATTGTCAAACCATTATGCAATTTGCTTGAGAAGGATGCCCTATTTTAGTTCAATGAAGAATATTTGCAAGCTTTTCAATTGTTGAAAGAAAAATTGGTCTTGGCACCTATTATAGTTACACCTGATTAGGATCTTCCATTTGAATTGATGTGTCATGCTAGTGATTATGCTATTGGAGCAATCTTAGGACGATGAAAGAACAAAATCTTCCACACAATTGACTATGCAAGCAAAACATTAAATGAGGTTCAAGTTAACTATGTTAC